GGGTAGTGCACGCTGTGTCTTTGAGCCATGCAGTTGTGTAGTTACCACAAAAAAACTTACATTTGAATTGAACTTCTGCTAGCCTTTTCAGAAAAAAAAAAATGTTATCTACTCAATATTTGAAGTAGATTCTCATGAAGGTTTTGTTACTTGTTCTCCTTGTTCAGAAGCTTGTGTTAGTATTAGGAGGTAGTTTTTTAACATTTGGAAACGCTGCAGGTGTATCTGTCATTATACACAACTATTGGTTCCATGGTCGATCAGATTACTAGTAGATCCAGCAATTTACAGGACACGCTGTTCATCTCAAGTTTGAAGGTATCTGTTGTTTGCTTTGTACCTGAGTAGCTGGTCCAACCTATGAATTTTCTTGAAAGTGATCTTGTTTCAGACTCAAATTTCCATTTAACTACCTGCTTAGTGCTTGGGCATGCCATCTTTGTATTATTTTGCATTTAGATCATTCTGAATTCTCTGTGGAAGAAGTAAGGGTTTCCTTTTCTTACTTGAATGTGATCTAGTTTTAGACTCAAAATATATTTGGATCATCTGTTTAGTGCTTTGGTGCATGTCTTTTTTTGTATACCTGGCTACCGTAGAGTGTAATCCAAACCAAATGCTCTTTGAAACCAGGGCCGGCTCCATAGTTACGACGGGTAAGGCTTGTGCCTTAGGCCCCCAAAGTTGGGGGGCCCCATTTTTAAAAAATAATAAGTTCCTAAGTATTTAAAAAATAATATCTAGTATTTTTAATACAAAAAGTAGAGTTTTTAATATAAAAGGAAAGAAATTTTTTTAGATATATAAATGAGGTAATAATTTGACTTACTTAAAAATGGGTAGATGAATAGTTTTTGCAACGATTCAGTTTTTCATTGATATTCTTGCTCACTTTCTTTCTCCAAGATGTCATTACTCACCTTCTTTCCCAAAGATTTCATTAGTTCAAGTGTTAAACAATATTTTTAAGTTTTCAATTGTTTTATACTTCTATTGCTCTGTAAAATCTTATCTAAGATCAACAATATCTCAAGAAAGATTAAATGAGTTGGTTATATTATCAATTGAACATAATTTATTTAGAGAAAATCAATTATAAAAAAAATTATTAACAACTTTGTATTTGAAATAAAAACATATCTTATAACTTTCTTTTAAAAATTTAGGCCTCATATTAAGCTAGTGATGTGAAGTCTCCAGAACACAAATCAAATAGGAGGTTGGTGTAACGTTTAAACTAGAGGTTAGTGTACGTGATATTGCTGAAGTGGGGGGGGGGGGGGGGGGGGCGCTAGCTATGGTTTACTTAAAAGTAATCTGATTGGTATTAGAAAGATTTATTTATCTATTATCAACCTAATGCATGAGCTAAGTACATGAAACTATGAAAGTATAATGAATTAATGATGGCAGATGGCATTGAGATTTCTGTGCGGGAGCTATGTGTTGAATTGTATGCTTCTGCGCAGATTATTATTATTATTAATATAAATTGCTTGATTACATGCATGGAGTCATGTATTTGAGAGTTGCAGAGTTTGTGGTCTTAGTATTGGTACCAAAATATGATGACCATTAGGGGCCATTTGGTAGGATGTATTAGGAGAAAATAATTCATGTATTAGCTTTGGTACAACTAATACAAGTATTAGTTATACACCCTATTTGGTATTATCCTATGTATAACTAATACATAGCAAACCATGGCATTAATAATACCATGATTTTTAATACATGGATAAGAGAGCATGTATACACCCCTATGCAATGCATGTTATTTTTAATACACCAAATCAAATAGTGGATAAGAAATAATCCCAGCATTACTAAACCCAGCATTACTAATACACCCTATTCAAACTTATTCTTACACCCCTTAATGTATTATTAACATTTTTAACACCATAAGCACTAATATATCTTTAACTTTATTATTTTCTTCTTTATGAAATAATACTTATCTAACATAAGAAAGTCCAAAAGACAGATGTTTTTATTTTGGAAAGTTTATATCCTATCCTTTGTCGATGAGTATTAATGTATCTTAACATATCTAACACCGATACAGACGTAATACTCTTTAAATACTATTTCATCTTTATGAAATAAATCTTCTCTAGATATCTAACATATGTCAATAAGAGGATTTTATTGTGGCAAGTACAGATTTTACCCTTGGAAAACCTTGGACAATCAGTATGTCACCTAATTAGTATTTGGTAACAATTATGTGCCTTATGTTAAAGTTTCCTTATACTAAGAAACAAAACTTAACAGTGTTAGGTCACAAATCTATTTGGAAATACTTGTTGTTCTTAACGTTGTGCTGTCTGTTGATTTACTGGCTGTATGTATGCTTGATAGAAGCTGATCAATAGGGAAAATAATTGTTCTCTACGCCTTTCCTACTAAGCTGCATAGGACTAGTTTCAAGTAGTTTTATGTCTGCAATTACCTTTAATTGCTGTCTTGGTATCTATCTTTAATTGATTATCGTAGTCCATCTTGGTGTACAGATAGCACTGGCTTACAGTAATGGTTTGCTAAGTAAAAGATCAACAAGTTCAAAGGAAGGGATAGTGCAATCAACTTTTCTTGGTTCAGTCCGGAAGCGGGTAGATGAGATTCTTAATTCATCTCTTGAATTCCCAAACGACTTCTCTACGTACATGAAATCTGGAAAATGGCCAACTGAAGATTATGGGAGAAGGGTTTCATCAACTCTTCTTTCTTGGTATGTACAATGGTACAATGTGCCATCACCACTCGAAGTTAAAAGAGCTTTGGACAAAATCAAGGGAATTAACACATCCTCTTCGGTCCCTCTTTTACATTTGGTGTTCCCGACGACTGATGTTTCTGCCCTCAGTGAGATCAACAGAGTAGGGTTTTGCTCCCGGTGATGAGCTTAAGATATACTCGCTAAATTTTATTGTTGTTGTAACTTATAAGTCTATCTATTATTTATTAACTAGTAAATTTGTCCGCGTGGTTGTAGAGAAATATTACAATTATGTTTTTTTTTTTTTTTGTAAAAAAATGATATCAAGATAAAATTTGCTTTATTTTATCTTTATGATATCTTTATTTTAGGACAAAAAAAATCCATGGACTATTCATTTGCTTCTCCAAAGTCATACACTACAATAAAAGCCACTTTTTATAGGAAAAGATAATTTTACCCATATCCATAAGTATACAATGTTAAAATATCATATAAACTTGTTAGATAATTTGTTTAAGTTATAGTATAAAATTATATAGGACTTTAAAATCAAAAAATTAATCAATATAATAGGACTCATTAGATGCTCCAGTTCAATTATTTTTCAAATTTATTATATTAAAATTTACAATCTAATTTTTTTGTAAAACTTAAGTATTAAAAAACATTATCACTTAAAACAAAAGCAGCAACTTCACAAAAGAAGTTACATTAAATGTTTAGTAGAACTGCCATCTTCTCGCGAAGACATTGGTGACCAAACCGTGAACATGTGATTTAAAGAAAATCAGAAGTTACAATAATCTGTAGTAGGAACCAAAGTTGCGCAGCCTTAGATAAAGGTAGAAATGGCGAGGGATAGCCACTTTCTAACATGGTATTTAGTTTTTATTCAGTATTTTTAATGCTGAGCAAAAATAGTCACTACTTTATTAAAATTAATACGAAAAGACGTTTTTACCCTTTATTCATGAGTGCTGTGTAAATATTAAGGACATGGTGTCCTTAACATTTATAGTGCACACATGAAGTTAAGGACGCCATGTCCTGAACATTTACACTGCACATATGAAGTTAAGGACATGATGTCCTAAAGTTTAACAATGGAAGGTGCAAATACAGGACACTTTGTCCTTAGTATTTACATAACATTCGTGAAGTTAAGGACACTCATGTACTTAATATTTACACAACACTCATAAACTTAAGGACACCATGTCCTTAACATTTATACTGCACATATGAAGTTAAGGACATGAGGTCCTAAAGTTTAACAACAGAAGGTGCAAATACAAGTTAAGACATTATATCCTTAACATTTACGCTGCACAAATGAAGTTAAGGACGTCATGTCCTTAACATTTACATTGCACATATGAAGTTAAGGACATGATGTCCTAAAGTTTAACAACGAAAGGTGCAAATACAGGACACGTTGTCCTTAATTTTTACATAGCATTCATGAAGTTAAGGGCACTCATGTCCTTAATATTTATACAACACTCATAAAGTTAAGGACACCATATCCTTAACATTTATACCGCACATATGAAGTTAAGGACATGAGGTCCTAAAGTTTAACAACTGAAGGTGCAAATACAAGTTAAGGACATTATGTCCTTAGCATTTACACTGCACACATGAAGTTAAGGACGTCATGTTCTTAGTATTTACACTGCACATATGAAGTTAAGGACATGATGTCCTAAAGTTTAACAACGGAAGGTACAAATACAGGACACGTTGTCCTTCATATTCACACAACATTCATGAAGTTAAAGACACCATGTCCTTAATATTTACATAGCACTCATGTCTAGCACAGGGGTATTTTCGTCCGGACTGGTAAAAGTTTATTAAGCACTGGCTAAAGAATAAATACATTTTAAACAGAGGCTAAAGAGTGAAAACATCTTTAATTAGTGGTTAACTGTGCACTTCCCCTTATATAAGACCAAGCTGATGAAAAATTTGGAATAAGAGGTAAAATACTTAATGAACTTGTTATAATTAGATTATTTAAGAGTTTTAAATTTGGTCAATCTTTCCTACTATAGCCATAGACTCAAATGCCCCATTTTCAACAATAAATGCAATTTACATTGGTAACATAATCCATCAAGAACTATAACTACAGAAAAGAGTTTTAAGTATAATGAAAACGATTTACTTTCAGCACATACTTTACTGTAGGAGATTTCGAGGGGCTTTGAGGGAAATGGATGTTCCTTAATTTATTGACTTTTGAATATGAAGATACTGAGGGAAAACGGCAAAAAGAATAGCATAATTATTTATTAAAAGATCAGTACTTGAACAACCAAATAAGGAATATGAAAGATTCGGGTAAACTTACAAACTTTTCACTATACATGATAGAGAAGATTGGAGTAACAACAATTGAGACCTTTAATCTTACAATAAGATAAATAGGAAAACAGAGAAAATGGACAAAAAAGAAAAGGAAAATATGACATTTTATCCATGTGGTCCTAGCGACACTGTGAAACACTGCTTCCCACGGGAAAAGAAACTTTAGTTCCTTCGAATCTCGACTTGTTGGTAGCATGATCTTTTTTTATCAGAGTTGGTTATTCTGCTGCAACTCCATGCAGTCCGTCGTACCTCATTAGTATATAAACTGGATGGCTGCTCTCTTTTTGTACGAATGAGTGCAACAGCCACCGAGTGTAACAGCCACTGATATCCTCGGAACTGTGCTCATCACTGCTCTAGGTACAAGGCTCTTCTATATGCATTACTGAAATTCTAAAAATAGACAAAGGTACATAAGGAAATGTTAACTAATTTACTTAGATTTTAAACACTTCACCAAGAGAGAGTTAGGAACCAAGCGCCTCCACATGAATCCATTTGCCTTGATGTGAACTTGAAATCCTTTGAATGAAGTTACAAAGTCTAACCCCAAATAATTCACAGGTTCTCCATGCGTTGTACTATTTGAGCTTTGTAAGTGACGCAACTTTGCTTTTACTTCTTGTATTTTCCTTACATACTTTTTCACTAAATTCAAATCATAGGAGAAAGGAACCATCCAGGACCAGAACAAGAAATTGTGTTAATTTACTAATAACATGAAATAAGTTTCAACAGTAACTGAGTCTAACTTCATTAGAATTGTCGATCTCATCCCAAGCTTTACCATTTTTAGCAGATTCAATCTTCAAAATTGAGATATCCATTCAACTTGCTATATCAGAATCTTATAAAAGACTTCTAGCAGTAATTGAGCCATTTAATAATTAAGTTAAAAATATTTAGCTAACAATAGCTAAACAAACCTGGGCATCAAAATCTCATTGTGTCAAATCTTCACAACTAATCTGACATTCTTTTATCTCTTTCTATAGCCCCGCAATTTTTTCTTCAAGCAAAGAAACTTTGTGCTCAAGGATCTGCTCATCATACATAGAAACTCAATATTATCAAATGTCTGATAGTAGTTAAAGACCAATACTTTAAAAACCAAATAAGGAATAGAAAAGGTTGGAAGAGTAATAATTGAGACTTTTAAGCTTTTCAAACTGCAGAATATTAAAGGCTAGAGCAATAATTGAGTCTTCGAATCTATAGTAAGATAAATAGGAAAATAGGGGGAACAAAAGCCAAAAAATTTGATGAACGATGAATTTAAATAAGCTGGATCCATTAATAAACAACAAAATTAATTTTTTTGGAAATTGCTGGGCACAATGTTGTTCCAATAATCTTCACCTTTTAGGTTATCATTGGAATCTTAGCATTAATTCTTGGGCTAACGAAGAAACAGAAAAAGGAAAAAGAGAAGAGAATAAAGCAATTTACAAAGGCAGATCATAAGGAAAAAGAAGACAAATGGATGCGTACACTAAACAATCATGATTTACTATCCCATCATCTTTTTTAAAATCTCATCAACAGATTCAACAAAGAAGCTACACTTGAACAATTAAAATACAATGGATGTTGTAGTTGAAATCTCCGATCTCTCTCACCCACGACTTGGCTCTAAATCCCATCTCTATGTTAGCTTCTTTGGATTAGGAATTTCCTAGAATATGTTTTCTGTTCTTGCAACTAAAGTGCAAGGATCTTAAATCCCAACACTCTTGCTACTAAAGTGCAATGATCTTAAATCCCAAAACTCTTGCTACTAAAGTGCAAGAGTTAATTGCCAAAACACATTATCATATTTAAAACAAAGCTCTACCATTAATTTGAAAAAAGCATGCTGCAGCATTACCATTATTCTGATAGAAACTCAAGCAAGAACTACTATTGTGGAACTGAAACACATTACTAAAGCTCACACGGTACATCTCTAATATAAAAAATTACCGGAGGCATGGATGTAGTTAACAAAAGAACATATGATTTTGAAACCGAAAATTCTCTGCAGCTGTTTGAATATTGGAATAATACCAGGAAATAAGCTGAGGGGCCTCCCCTCAAATTTAGCTACAACTTTATTGAGAAAAACTTGCAGAAGCAGAATTCAGATCCACACAAGATGGATAAATAGTCAATTACAGTGGCGATCACTTGAGAATTTTTCAGTAGAACAATAAGACTTGGATAGATTTGCAAGGGATAACAAAAATCATATACTCCTATCATTTAAGCTTCGTCTAAGGACCCAAATGACTAAATCAGGCAAATTGAGGAAATCAAGGGGAGGCATGGTAGGGCATACAACAGGATAGTCACACATATGATATTATACAATATTAAATTGCAATATGCAACAGGAACACAAACGCTAGATTTAGGAACCACCACTTAGGAAGGCCAAAAAACAAATTTACCTGAATTCATCTAGAAAACCCTAAAAGGGGGACATGTCCATCAATAATCTGCTATTTTGACAAAAACACGAAATCAAAAGATCTAAAATTGTAAGAAAGCAACCAAATAAGTAATAAGGAGACATAAAAATCTTAACTTTATTGCACAAACAAAAAGGATGTGATTGCTAACTGAAGGCAAAGGCTTACAATGTAGAAAAAAATATTGTCACAAAATTTCCAATCAGACACAATTTACATTATCCAAACAGGAATGTTACTCTCACACTCAACAAGTAACAGAAAAGATGAACTTGTAGCTGATGAAAGGAAGAAAAGAAGAAGAGAGAAGAAGAAGGAAAAAAGAAGAGAGAATTAGGAGAGGAAATTTAGATAGATTTTATTCATAGCTAATCATTGAAATACAGGGAATATAAATAAGGACAACTCTGCCATTTTTGTTGCCTAGGGATCAGTAAATACTGCCAACTGGCAGTGTAGGACAGCAGTCCTGTACTACTCGCTAATAGGACTAAAAATGACTGGAATTTAAATTTACATAGGACTAAGTTGCTATAATTAAAACTATGGGACTAATGTGACAACTATTACCATTAACTACCAACAATGTAACAAACCCTTCCCCTTATAGAACCTTGTCCTCAAGGTTCGAAATTTGGAAACTAGGATTTGATGAAGCGATAATCTTCCCAAGTAGCCTCTTCCGGAAGTAAGTTGGACCATTGTATCAAAACTTGTGTCACTGCTTTATTCCCCCGCTTGATCATTCTCCAACCTAACACAGCAACTGGTTCAGTCATAGGAGCTCCATCAGGTGAGCACACAGGAGGATCAACACATGCAACTATATTAGTGCCTATCTTCTTCTTGAGCTGTGAAACATGAAAAACTGAATGAATTTTTTCTGATGGAGGAAGTTGTAACTCATAAGCAGCATTGCCAATCCTTTTGAGGACTTGATAAGGACCATAGAACTTAGAAGAAAGCTTAAGGCTTTTCCGGATAGCAACAGAGGACTGCCTATAAGGCTGTAGCTTAAGATAGACCCAATCCCCTACTGAAAATTCTCGATCAGTCCTGTGCTTATCTGCCTGTTGTTTCATCCTATTCTGAGCTTTTCTGAGGCTTTCCTGCAGTACTTTAGCCATCACTTGCCTTTCCTTTAACCACTGATCTACAGAATCCACTTTACCTTGAGCCACTAATTCGAATGTCAGCCGAGGAGGTTCATAACCATAGATAACCTGGAATGGAGTCATTTGTAATGCAGAATGGAATGAGGTGTTGTACCATAATTCAGCTAGGGAAAGCCATTGATTCCATGCCTTTGGTTTATGACTTGTCATGCATCTGAGATATGTTTCTAAGCACCTGTTTAACCTCTCTAATTGACCATCCGTCTGAGGATGGTAAGCTGAACTCATGTGCAGCTCAACCTTCAATAACTTGAAAAGTTCCCTCCAAAACAGGCTGGTGAACACTTTATCTCTGTCAGATACTATGCTTTGAGGAAGGCCATGTAACTTATACACTTGATCTAGGAAAGCCTTTGCAACTTGAGCTGCATTGAAAGGATGAAGGAGTGGAATGAAATGTGCATACTTACTGAACCTGTCAATCACCACTAGGATAGTGTCTTTCCCTTCTGATTTTGGAAGTCCTTCAATAAAATCCATACAAATGTGTTTCCAAGGATGTTCTAGAATGGGCAAGGGTTGCAGCAATCCCGGGGGTGCAATGTTTTCAGTTTTGTTTCTTTGGCAAACATCACATTCTTGGATGACCTTCTGAATGTCTGATTGCATAGATGGCCAATAGAAAAGTGACCTCAACCTTTTGTAAGTGGCTAACACTCTAGAATGACCTCCTAGTGCTGAGGAGTGCATGATCTTAACCAACTGTTGTCTCACTTCCTATCCATAAGTTGCCCAAATGTCTTAGTAGCCCATTCACCACTTGGTTTGTAGCACTTCCATTGGGATTATGAGTAAGGTCAGAAATGAGTTGAGTTGCTTCCTCATCTCCATGATAACTTTCCAACACTTCTTGATCCCAAGTTGGTCTGATGCTGGTGATAGTATTAAAATGTCCTGTGATTTTCCTTGATAAGGCATCAGCTGCTGAATTCTCACTCCCTTTCCTATACTGAATATCAAAGTTTAGCCCCAGTAACTTAGTTAACCCTTTATGCTGTAGCACAGGAGAAATTATCTGATCCTTGAGGAATTTGAGGCTGAAATGGTCAGTCTTGACTATGAAAAAATTCTGCTGCAAGTAATGCCTCCACTTGTCCACAACTAGTATTAAGGCCAGTAATTCCTTCTCATAAATTGATAGTCCTTGATGTTTAGGACTAAGATCCTGACTCAGATAAGCTATGGGATGATGCTCTTGCATGAGTATGGCTCCAATACCTGAGTCACTAGCATCAACTTCTACAATGAAGGGCTTAGAGAAATCAGGTAAGGCCAATACATGAGCCTTAACCATTGCCTCTTTAAGCTTTTCAAATGCAGCCGTAGCTTCTTCAGTCCATGTAAAGTTTCCTTTCTTGAGCAGTGAAGTCAATGGCTTACTAATGACTCCATAACCCAATATAAATCTCCTGTAGTATCAGTGAATCCAAGGAACCCTCTTAATTCCTTAATGTTTGTTGGTGTAGGCCATTGCAGCATTGTCTGAATCGTAGCAGGGTCGGTTTGAACACCATTCCCTGAAATAATGTGGCCAAGGTAGTCCACTTGGGGTTGAGCAAAGGAGCATTTTGATCTCTTAGCATACAGTTGGTTCTGTCTCAACAATTGAAGCACCTTTTCCAAATGCCTCAAGTGCCTGCTCAAGTCTGGACTCTAGACTAAGATATCATCAAAAAACACTAAGATGAACTTTCTGAGATGCTCACCAAATACCTGATGCATCAATGCCTGAAATGTAGCAGGTGTATTAGTCAACCCAAATAGCATGACTTTGAATTGCCATAGCCCATGATGTGTTCTAAAAGCAATCTTGAACTCATCAGATTCCTTCATCCTCACTTGATGATAACCAGATCTAAGGTCAATCTTAGAAAACAGGACTGCTCCCTTTAGCTCATCCAATAAGTCCTCCACTACTGGGATAGGATACTTGTTTTTAACTGTCATTGCATTTAACTTTCTGTAATCAATACACAATCTCCATATGGAATCCTTCTTTTTAACTAGGAGAGCTGGTGAGGCAAAGCAAGATTGGCTAGGTACCACAGTCCTAACCTTGAGCATTTCTGTGATCATGTGCTCAATTGCATCCTTTTGGTCGTGAGAATATCTGTATGGTCTTAGGCTGAAAGGGTGAGCATCAGGCATCAAAGTGATGGTGTGGTCACAACTTCTTGTCAGAGGCAAGGCCATGGGTTCTTCAAAGATATCAGCATACTTTTGCAGCAACTCAAGAACTGGTGCAGGTACATCCACTTCTGGAGTTTGTTGGGATAAATCATATAATTGCACTAAACAGCAGCTGCTTCCTTGTTGCAATAATTTTGCTGTGTTTTCCTCAACATCAGACCATACCTCAACACTATCAGTATTGCCCTTAAGTGTGATGATTCTGCCCTCTTTAAGGAAGGTCACACTAAGAGGTCTTGTGTTGAGAATGACAGGAGTGAACTGATCTAACCAATTCATCCCAAACACCATGTCATAGCCCCCAAGGTGTAATACTCTAATAGGAAAATGAAATTCTTCTCCCTGCATGGTCCACTTAAACTTGGGACACCATTCTTCACTAAACATCTGTTGTCCATTGGCCACAACTACTCTCAGAGGTTGAGCAGAGGGATATACCATTCCTGTCATGCTTTTAGCTACTCTTGGGCTAATGAAGCTATGGGTAGATCCACTATCTACCAAGATCAATATTGATAACTTCTTCACCTTCCCTTGTATCTTTATAGTAGAAGGTGAAGTAGTCATTCCTAAGGCCACATTCATTGACAATTCTGCATGTTCCTCTTCTACCACAGCCAAAGCTTCTTCCATATTTTCAGTGACTTCAATAGCTTCCCTTGCATCATGATAGACCTCCTCTTGTTCTGCTTCATTAGTGGCTGTCATTAGGTTTAGGGTCTTTGGTTTACATTGATGACCAGGGTAATATCTCTCATGACACCTGAAACAGATGTTTCTTTCTTGTCGATGCCCCCTTTCTCTCGCGAAATTGGATTTATGATATTTGGGCGGACAACTCATTTCCTTTGGGGAATTGGGTTTGCAATTGAAGAGTCGTCAACTAACGATTAAGTGCATTAGGACACTAAAGAAATTTGATTTAGAAAAACCAGAGATTGGGTAAGGGCTTGAAATTATCTCGAGGAGAAGGTGTTAGGCACCCCTCAAGATCCACTAGTGTGGTTCCCGGCCA